AGGAAAGAATGGTGCATTAATACCGTTTGGCAAGAGAAATTGGTGGCTATTTCCTGTCATTTACATTCTCTGTCAGGATTGTGTGCTAAATTCATTTTGTTGTTCATCTCATTAATGAAATATCAACCGAGTTGTGTTACAAAAAGGGCATTCAAAAACTAGCTCAGGCAGGTTGCACAGTGTTTTTGCTGTTGATGTTGAAATCCCTGTAATCAAGTGTACTAAGAGTGAAAAGAATTTGGCTATTGGAGAGGAAAGAGGAATAGAGTTTGATTATTTTTTGACACATATTTGTGTTGTCTTTATCAACAAAGCTTCAATGACAGTTCGAAGTTAATATTCCAAGCCTTGAAGCAAGAAGGGCCTTTGTTTGCTTTTCACGTTCAAACTCCAAAGTCATGGGTCAATCAATGACGCTGGCCATTCTCTGCTTTTAATCGAGGCATGCCCTCAAAATGCATGATGTGATATGATGTGATGTAATGAGCAATGGGGTTATTCACCCTTCAGTCAGAAAAAGCAGCATAACTTAGTGTCTGTTTTCATGGTTCAGATTTAGACCTTTGCAACACAAAATGAAATATGTGACCACCTGTCCATAATTCCCAGACATCTTGTGCAGCTGCTGGCAGTCGGAAGAGTAGGGGGAGGAAGGGAATTTCCTCTGAACTTGTTGCCACTAAGCGTGGGTGGCAGGGAGGCTCTTGGTTGCAGTCTGTTTCATAACTCCAATATTTTACTGCTTTATATTGCCTTTTGAATTGTATCTTCATTGCTTCCTCCTGTATTTATGAATATGCCTAATTTTTTTAAAGCTATGCCAGAGTGGGAGGGGGGTGGGCTCATGATGCAAGCTCTGCCCCTTTTGTAAGTCCCTAGTGATATTGCACACACATAGGTAAGGGGCAGAGCTTGAGTTGCAATACTGTACTGTTTTTGTTTTTGTGACATAATTGTTGGATTTTGTAGATACCTGTGAACCTAATTGTTGTATAGCTTTACACTAAGCACAGTAAAATCACATTGTCATATACCTGGATATGAATTAAGTTAAATATAAGTGTATGTTGGGCTTTAGGACTGTCCATATCCTTGAGCGAGTACTTCACTTTTTTCTACACATTTTAGAAGCTACATGCAAACATTGGCCTACTATCTGCCCCAAACTAGGTTTTAAAGATATACACTTCTAACAACTACTTTTATTATTCTCTCAAGCAGTTGGTTGCCATCTGTGATAGCTTTCCCTTATGACTTGTTGCTGACAGAAAAAAAACAGGATTAATTAATCGATTTAAATAAGATCTGTCTAATGAAATATGAGATAAGGTCATTCACCAGGGCACCCTGGAGATTCTGCCTGTGGTAATCCAGTTCATCTTAGATATGATAGAATTGTGACAGTAAATGTAACAGAATTCTCTGTGTCTAGTTTGCAAAGTATTTCAGGACCAGACAGTCTGTGCATTTCTTCCTTATCAGGCAAATGGGTGGCAACATCTCCCCTGCATGAAGAGGCAATTAGGAAGAGAATGAGAGAGATCAAAGAGACTCTACCTTGAAATACTTATTGATAAATGGAGTGCTAAAGTACAGATATCCCGTTTCCAAATTCTGTTACCTAACTCCTTTTGTTTTCAATAAATTTGACTAATGAGAATCTGTGAGAAACTAATCTTGGGGTGCACCTTGGTTCTCTGAGGAGGTCCAGGAGATGGGAAAAAGATGCCTGGAGTACTATTAGAGGAAGACAAAGAGAATCCAATCAAACACAAGTAAGAACCCACATTCGGGATTACCTCATGGTGATAAGCCCAGGAAACATCATTAATTCTCTGCCCTTATTGCGTCTGTTGATAGCCACCCAAACAGCTTAGTTTAGGGTGACACATACCCTGTTGAGAAGGTAGTCAGACAATTGTTGCAAGGATCTTGGAGGAAGCAGATTATCTGGATCCATTTCAGTCATGTTTCAGGCCAGGGTAAAATATGAGCACAGCATTGGGCAGACAGTCACTCATGCCTTAGTTACCTCCCAGATAGACTACTGCAGTGCACAATACACTGATCTACATGCAACTGCCTTTGAAGATCACTCAGAAGCTACAGCTGGCCCACAGTGTAGTGATGCAGTATTGATACGTGTGCCACAATATGCTCATGTGTCACTGCTGCTTCGTGAGCTGTACTGGTTGCTATTTGGCTTCCAGGTACAATTCAAGGTGCAAGTTATCACCTATAAAGCCCTTCGTGACATAAGGCCTGGCTGTTTAAGGGACTGTCTACCTCCAATAGTTTCTGCCCACCCAGTAAATGGACAGCTTGAGCAAGTCTGGTCCCTTCAATTAAACAATGTCATCTTTTGGGACCCAGGAAACATGCCTTCTCTGTCACAGCACCTCCCCTCTGGAATAGCATCCTACTCCCCCCCACAAATCTTATGGCTCCCACTCTTCAGTTGTTCTATAAGTCTTTGAAGGCCTGGCTTTGCTCCCAGTAGCAGATGACATCCACACTTCTCATCTCTTCTAATACCCTCAGAAACTCAAGCCTCATGCTCCAGTTTTGATTTCTTTCAGTTTTAGCAAATTGCTTGAACCCTTCAGCTGACTTACAAATATGGCTAGATCCATAGATTCTGCAGTAGCTGATCACTGTTATAAGGACCTGTTTCACATCTTCAATAAAAACAACTTACCTATCTGAGCCTCATCTTTGAATCTTCTGCTACTGAGATCACAGGTGTGTGTTTACATTCCTAGAGACAAATCTATTGTTGTGCCCAGACAGTACTAACT